TGAGACTTAATACAATTTTATGCTTATAGCTCACAAGTTAGGAAGAGACAGCATAAGGTCAACTCATCATCATTGTCATAAAGTACCTGACAGAAGAGCACTTATTGTTCCTTTTCATTGAGTGCTACATCAACTAAAGAATGAATGTGGAGACTGGGGCATTTCTCAGTGGCAGAGCACTTGCCTCACATGCAGGAAGGTCCAGGTTTAATTCCTAGAAACAAGAATAAATTAAATTAAATTACCCACTGTGTCTTACAGAAAAATACCCATGTGCTTAGTAAAATTGCTATAAAAATCCAACTCTATTCACTAGATAACTTGATAAAAAAAGAGTACTACTCATTCAGGTAGTATAACATATGTTCATCATTCAATTTTGATTAATGAAATTTTAAATCATGAATATACAGCCTAAAGGGAGGGAATAATGCTATCTGTGAACATCATATTTACTGTTGAATGAGGCCTGGTCCTCCTTTGTTCAATGGACAACAAGACCCTCAGTGCAGACTCACTATCACTCTCAAGATGAAGCCAATGAAGTCATGTGTTCCCTGTAAATTTGGCTCAGTCTCTGTCTGTTGCTTCCATGACAGAAGACCCCGAGTCTCAAGTAAGAATCTATGCTGAGCACCTAAGACCTGAATGATCTTCCTGGCCCATGAGAAATCTTAGTTGTGATATGGGGCAGAGCCATGACTGAGAGACATGGGAAACCCAGATGGGAACCCATGCTCATGGAGACTCAATTACCACACTGATCTTTCCATAGGAAACAGAAATTAAGAAACAATGATATTCCAGACAAGGTGCTAAAAGGAGAAATAAGAGGAAGTAAACCATCTATTCACACAGCAGCACTTGTGGTGTGTGTGAGAATTCATACTGGAAAAAGCACTCAGTGTCATGATTGAAGGAACATTCTTAATGATTGTCATTCCATCCTCAACATTAATGTTCTATTGTCAGACATCGAGCCTGAAATCAGAGTGGAGAAATTTAAGATCAAGTTCACACTGGAAAACAGTCTGGAAAAAGCCAAACAACAAAACTCTAAAAGAAACTTCAAAGCAAATTTAGCTAATCATTCAGAATTTTGACAAAATAACCATTCTCAAAAATATTTTACATAAATATGGGATGGTGAAATTGTTGAGAAATATAAAATGGACATGAATATGAGAAATCAGAATAAATTTGCAAGTCATTCAAATGATATGCGATTTACAAATAGAATCTAGATTATTAAAAACATTTAAATAGATTATTAAAAACATTTAAATAATAAAACTTATCTCAAAAAGTGGAATATGGTTGTTTCATTCTATATTTCATTAGGTGGTTTAAGTAGAGAATTTCTTCTTGCTATGTGAGTACAAAATAATCCTCATTTTTGAGTCTCCATTCCTACCAATTTATTGGCTAACCTCCCCTCTTTCACACCTCCCAACAAAATCTTCAGTCTCCATTTATACCTTGGGGAAACACAAGAGGGGACTTCAGCTGCCCAAGTTTAGCTGTGTGACACAACCCTAGGTCCCAGGGGTAGTGTCACAGACATCTGGTCTAAATGTCCTGGTGATAACCCAGTCCTTGTTTCTGGCCATGGGAGCTGTCTGGGAACACAGTGACAGGCATCTCTGCACTTCCACCCCATAGGAAACCTCAGAGTTGAAGTAAGCAGGGACAGGAACTCATCCCAGATCTACACCCCATGTCTTAATCAGGTCAGTCCTGAGAAAAATTACAGTATCTGGCAGCATACACTTTAATAAAACAAAAATACCTTAATTCAAGTATCTCACACATTTTCAAGCAATTAATAATTGAGTAACATTTTAATGTTTTTAAATGTTTTAAACAACATGGAAATTTTATTATGTTCTTCAATGAACTACCTTGATATTATGGGCTTATTAGTTGCCTGTCATCTCATTTAATACGTAGAAAAGCAGATACTTAGAAAGTATTTATATGACATAAAATCATATACATATATTCTGCAAATTTTGTAAGAAACCAGACAGGACATTTAAAGGCACTAAAAATTTACCTTTCCCTATTTCTCCCTTGTGTGTCCTCCCATTAGTGTGTGACCCATGTCCAACAATATTACTGCATTTGATTTGGGTCTATAATCCACATAGGAGGGAGAACATGTGATTTTTGGCCTTCTGACCCTGGCTAACTTTGCTTAACATGATGTTCTCTAGTCTCAACCATTTACTTGTGAATGGCAAAATTTCTTTCTTTGTGGTTGAGTAAAATTTGTGCACAAATATGATGTTTTCTTCGTCCATTGGTAAGTTTGGGGTATCCTGGCTGTTTAGGGAAGCTTGCCTGTTATAAATAGTGCTGCAGTTAACATGGGTGTGCAATTGCCTTTGTAAAAACTCGAGTTGCATTTCAATGGGCATATCCAAGAAGTGGTGGATATGCTCCCTGTTAAGGAGTGAATAAAGTAATCTCAGATAGGCAGAGGTCACTATGAAAAGGGACCAGGAAGTAACAAAGAGGTCTTATAGAAATGTCTCAATGTGAGCTTCAATACACAATGCATGGAAGCAATGCTAGGAATCTCTCCATGTAGCTATCCTTGTGTCAAACTAGCAAAAGTGATATGTCTTTCTTCTTATCTCTTATGTTTTCTCTTCAACAAAATCAAAGAAGAGGAAGGTGGAACAGGTTCTGCCTGGAAGCAGGGGTGTGGCAGCAGGGGTGTGGGGGTTTGGCAGGGATTGGCACTATGTATACACATGTAAGTAAATATAAAAATGATAAAATAAAAAGTAAAAATATAAACCAAAAAAGGAAAAACAAAGAAAGAAAATGTAACATCAGTACAGCCTTGAGTTTGTCAAGACCACGGACTGCAGCAGAACTCCAAATTTTTACTACCTATATACTCTATATGACTGCACCTGTCATACAGCCTCAAGCTCACTATTTCTGAGAAGAACATGTGTAGCATCCATCCACTCTGCATTATTCTCTACATGTTCAAGCTCATTCCTCCCTATATAATTTCCATTCCTTCTTTCAATGAGTGCAAATTACTCATTACATATTACTACAGCATACAGGAGAATTAATTCACACAGTATTTTCAACTTAGTAGCACAGGAATTTGCGGTCAGTGCACACCATGTATCAAGTGAGCAAACTGAAAATGAACAATCCATGTTACCATGATAAAGGAATGCGTATTGTGTCCAATGTTCTGACTTAATCAGATATGTCTTCTACTCTTCTCACAATTTCCAAAATATCACCAAACCAAGTGATTTACAGGCAGGTAACTTGTGAGCCTCACTGGAACACAGAGTACTTGCATTGAGCAATGATGGGTGGTAGGAGGGGTTGTGGATGCCATGCTCAGTGCGATGGTGAGTCAAGTTGGGAGCACTAACCTCAATATGGCCATCGATTTTTAAAAATTAAAAACCATGGCTTGACCTTTGACTTAGAGTTCTCTGTTTTCCTTGATTGGAGTCCTGGATCTACACAAGACTTGGAAAAACATTAGAGTTCCACAAGCTTTGTTACCTAAATTCCTCTCAGCTTAATTTTCTCTTTGGCTTCACCCAGGTTGTCTAAAAAATATTTCCACCCCAAATCTAAATCCACAGGAGGATGCTAATACTACTGTTATACAGGTTTAGGACCAGTCACTTGCTCACTGAGATACTACGGATCCATACACATTGTCTTAATACCTAGTCAGAGATCTTCTATATTTAGAGAATGGAGATTAAGTGTGAGTGACTTGTCATCCGTGCCTATCACTTGTAGTGATTCTCAACCTGGTTGCCTTTTGGAATAAACTCCAGTGTTTAAAACTCCAACATGCCAATCTAAGGGGAAGCACTGTTTTATAAAGTCTGGGCTAGGATGAAGGTGTTAGTATTTTCCAGCTGTCTTCAGATATACTCGACTAATAGGTGAGTAATACATTACACATATCTCTCAAGGAGTACAAATACTAAATGCCAGATTATCCATAAATTATTCAGACAAAAACAAAAGCATAGATTACAGTGTATGAAATTTCTCAAGATTAAAATTATTTTCAGATACCCCTGAGGATAAAGATACATGGGTGAGGGGTTGGAGATGTAGATCAAGTAAAAGAGTGGAATGAAGCCCTGAGATCAAACTCCAGTACTGCAAAATAAAACCCAAGATAAATGAGCAGTTAGTATATATTTTTAAGTCATTGATGCATAAGAGAATAATAAATATGCAAGCAATATTTTTGCTTTTGATTTATTTGTAATTGACAAATCATAATTATATATATTCATGGGGTACATGATTCCATACACATATCTAATATCCACTGTGCAAAAAATATGAGGATTATCAGGCTGTCCACCTCAAAGATTTACACTTTCATTGTGGTAATGATAATGAAGATCCTTCCTTCTTGTTCTGAAATATACAATGAATGATGGTTTAGTGCAAGGAACCCGGATGGAACTGGAGACCACTATGCTCAATGAAATAAATGAAGCACCGAGACTGCTCTCATTCTTGTAAACAAGTTCCTCAGCCCTTTGATTCAGTGCCCAGGTGCTTGCCTGCGAAGTCCAGGAGCAGAATCAATGATGTCTGCACCCTGTAGTGAAGGAGGGATAGAAATGAAACCTGTATGACCTGTAGTCGGCAGTGTGTATTTGCAAGTAGCACCTTGCTTGTGTGATGTTTCAGATTATAGGCTCAATGGTGAAAATGAATCAAAAAGTAAAGATAAATTATTATCATGGCCTGATCCACAGAGATTCCTTATGCAGCCCTCCACCCACACGAACATTTGTGGGTGTCCCCAAGATTGGAGGACTCAGTGCTGCTAAACTAGCAGGTTGCTGTTCCTGACTCCTTGCAGAAAAGGCCTTGATCTTCAACCATTGTTATGTTGTTGAGAGGAACCCTTAGCCAAGTTCTGCACAACTGTCTGCACCCCTAAGGATTCACCCAAAAGATTGCCAATCTTTCAGTTGCAGTGAACAGGAGCAACTCTGCCCACTGAAGACATTGCATACTAAATCAAATATGAAAGGTGGAGACTCAGGATCCCCCAGGTGGAAGGAACAAGGAACCCTGAAATGCTCTGGAGTCTTGGTGGAAGAGGCCCAGCTCCCATCCTTCGAGCCCTACCCCTTCGTTTTCCTACCTCAGTCCCTAAACCCCTCCATAGAGAAGTTTTCTGCTCAAAGTGAATTAGATCTTCCTATTCAGGGGTGAGTTTCAGTATCTCCACTTCTTAACACTTGCTCTTACCATATGGACACTACATGCCCAGTTTCAAGGTTGCTGGGGAGGTCATAATCTTTCTACTTAGTTCCTTCATAAGGGAACCCAGTGTCAATGAGAGATGCTCCATGGACAGGGGACACTTTGATGGTACCTAGCTCAGTTTCTGGTTAGAATCACTGTAGGTCACCACTGCTGGGTCTTTGTGCCATAGGTAGTTTGCACAGACTCCCTTCTAATTCCCATGCAGAGATTCCTTTGGGAGTTGGTTCTGCTCCCTTTAGGCCACTGTCCCTTGAATCCTCCATGTCTAAGTCCAGTACTGGAATCTTCGTTCTATCCTGGATCCTCATGGACCTGATCCTGCTGCACTTCAGGCATCTCTTTCACAGTCATTCTCAGGAAGGCCACTGATGCCACAGATGTGAGAGATAACCAGCAATTGCCCTATTCCCATTTTCATCCCACTTGCTGTCCCTGCCAGGTTTGTTCAGCTTCATGCTTCTGAACTGAGGGAGTAGCAAGGCCAATAGGAGGCTAGAGTAAGAGAGTGGTTATATGGGGAGCCGGTAGTTGGGACATCTTCCCTTGCCCCAATGAGTGTCCTCTAGTCTTTGGAGGGATCTCTGCCTATCTGTACATCCATGACCCTGCATTACTCCTCTGTAACTTCCCAAGCCTTACCTCTTGTTCTTTGAACACCTAATCTGAGTACTTTCAGTTTGTGTGGTGCACACAAAACATATAACAGGAATCGATGGAGCTATAATAAAGTAAAGGGAGTCTGGTGGTTTCCTTTTCCATTTTACTTAACATCTCACCAGCCTCACATGAAAAAGGCTTGAGCAAATATGTGTCTCACTTAGTCCACATAATTCTATTTGTTGGCCTATTCTGTGCTACATGTAAAATATTCAGCATTGCTTGCATGAGAAACTTATGTAGGGATAGTCAGGAAAAGGTTTATTTTTTCTATAATTCTGTGTAACTCCTTATCACAAATTCAATACTGAAAACAACAAAAGGTCTTAACTCAACATCTTGTGGATCAGGAATTGAGGGAAAGGCTATCAGTGTTCCCTGCACAGCATCCTACAGGTGGCAATGCAGGTTCCCACCTGGGCTGCGAATCTCACAAGAGGCTTTGGATGATATGTCTCTGACCTTCTGTTTCCACATCATGATGTCTATTTCATCTTGCAAGTCACCTCAAATCTCTGAAACTTTCCTTCTTCAATGCTCATAGGAAATGAGCTTGGAGTTCTGATCTGTGCCACTGGTCCAGCCCTGTACCCACAACCCTATGAGAGTCTGTAATTCAGGAGCTGGGTGCTGGTGGCTCATGCCAGTAAGGAGGCGCTATCTGGTGGTTTGTGGTTCAAAGCCAGCCCAGGAAAAGAGTTAAAGGGACCCAAACTCACAAATAAAAAATGTCAAATAAAAGGGCAGTTGGAGTGGCTCATGGTGTAGGCCCTGATGTAAAACCCAAGTACGACCAAAAAAATAGATGGAGAGGTTTGAGGACTACAAGTCTAGGCACCAAAAGTTTATGTGGATCTTAAGAGAGATGGTGGATCTTCTGTATAAAAGTGTCAGGTGTTAGTGTCTCATTGGTAAATCCCAGGATGAGCAAAATATCCTTGAATTCTCCTACTGAGTGAGCACTTCATTCTACACAAATTGAGGAGGTAAGAAATTAAAGATGAAAGACAAAATCAGGGCAAGGAATCCCTACATCATTTTGGATGTTATGAAAATGTAGGTTAACAGATATGTTTGAAAAAGCTGATTCACATTGGTTGTTAGAGATGAAAATGTGTGTACAGCTTGTCATGTTTATAAGTATTTTATTGGTGCTGAAAGAAAATTAATATCACAGTAAATAATGTTAAGAAATAAAACAAAGGCAAGTCAAGTAACTCATTTACCACATCCATTGCTGTTGAGATCATTAGATTCACAAAATTAAATCTCATGTAGGTCACAGGGTAAGTTGCACATGACAGGGATTAAGTAGAGTCCACTGAAAAATTGTCCTTTAGACACCAAGCACAGATTCATTTTTAATTACTTTATAGTTTAATATGTGCACAGGTGTGCCAATCCTATTGCTTGTAAAATTAACTAGGAGGAGACTCTTCATGTCACAACATACTAAACTCCATTTTAAGTACAATTTATGATTAAATACTCTAAACCCTCAGTGTCTGCATGTCTGTCCACAGCACTATCTGGCCATCCCTTACTCAAACCCTCAGTTTTCAGAGTACAGGCCAGTAGGGGACATGCAAATCCAATGCAAACTAGAAATAAGGGAAATCAGCCCACCAGGGATAGTCAGCTTTAGCATCAACAGGAAACTGCTTTGAGGTGAGAGACAGAGAAAACAGATGGTTGGGGCCACTGTTGATATTGATTAAGCTTTTCTGTTCTGTACCCAGGGTACTCAGAATGTTTCTTGCCTTTCTGCCCAGTGGACCTGACTCTCCACACACACTTCCTTAGAAATAAGTTGCATATCATATTTGGTATGGCAATGTTGCACACCCTGGAATTTAGACTTCACATAGTTGGAAGTAAGAGTTTACAGTAGTTAAGCCACTTAGATTTTTTCAGAGATAAATTTTATTAATTATAAATTTTATGTAATATATACATATATATTTCATAAAGTATAAATTTTACTGCCATTAAAAGAAAATTAAATAATGTTTACAGTGTGTTAGAAAGGGAAAAAACACAAGTTCAATGCATACACAGGTGTGTCACTGCTAATTCCTGTGAATTTGTTTTGGTGCAAAACAATACCTATGGTACTATATTAAATTCCATTTTAACTACAACTTCAGGATGCATCATCTACACACTCAGTATCTGTGTGTCTGCTCCCAGAAGTCTCTTGAGAGCAATTATTGCCTAGGTTCCATACAAGGTGAGGTGATTAAGCAGAAAGAGCCTGTGCCCTCTGAACACAACCACTCAGTCCAGCAATCCCTTCAAAATTACTGCTGCAGGAGGTCAATCTTCCATGCCAGGAGGCGTCTCACTCCAAATCACTCACCTCAAAGGAAGAAAAGACCTCTAGATGCTCATAGAGGACACTCAGTGGCACATGGGAACCATGACACTCAGGCATCTCAGGGCTGGGAGGCCTGGTGTTAGGAGGGCTTGTCTTCTCAGGAGTTTGGGTTGACAGAGCTGTCACCAATGTGGAGCTAAACTTATCACTGTACAGTCCCTTGAAGACCATTCTCAGGGGTTGGCATGGAACATGGCTTGACAGTGGGTTGTTGGACTCTGTGCAAGACACGATAGAATCCATCTGAGCTTGGTTATTTGGAGCCTGTAGGTCATCACTGTGTCCCTGTGCTGATATTTTCTCAGTCTCTGGAGATGGTACTTTCAAACCACCTCTATTTTCATTTGGCATAGAAGGCATATCCTGGAGATGTTTCAAGCCAGCTTTTCCAGTGCTCTCCTGGGTGATATAAGTGGGTTTGAGTCTTGTTTTCTTTGAGGGATTCTAGTCACTCTGCACAGGAACATGAGCAGGTCTCTTGTTTGATGCTCTAAAGCTGATTTGGGGCTTCTGGACATATCTATGAGCTGCAACTTGCAAGCAGGACTGCTTATTTACATCAGTTGACCATGTTGGTGCCAGAAATTTGAGCATCTGGTCAATGCTGCCTTGTGAAGGCAACCTCGTGAATACTGGGGGAGCCATCCTCTGGACTTCTTTGTGTCTTATTCATAAGTGGGGCCCTGTCTTTTTTTTTTCTTTTACTATTCATATGTGCATACAAGGCTTGGGTCATTTCTCCCCCCTGCCCCCACCCCCTCCCTTACCACCCACTTGCTCCCTCCCTCTTCCCCCCACCCCCTCAATACCCAGCAGAAACTATTTTGCCCTTATTTCTAATTTTGTTGTAGAGAGAGTATAAGCAATAATAGGAAGGAACAAAGGTTTTTGCTGGTTGAGATAAGGATAGCTATACAGGGCATTGACTCACATTGATTTCCTGTGCATGTGTGTTACCTTCTAGGTTAATTCTTTTTGATCTAACCTTTTCTCTAGTTTCTGAGTTTCTAACTTTTCCCTAGTTGACAAGAGTTTTTTAATGACAGACTGGTGATGTCAGTGAGAACTAAACTCTGACCTTCATTTTGCACAGGAGAAAAGACTGTAAATTCTGGTCCTTTGATGGGTTACAACTAAGGGCCCATGGATCCCATTTCAGATATGTTGATAGTTGGTTGGCAATGGATGTTGCCAAAGAAACATCCATTCCTACTTCTAGAGCAGAATTTTGGTCTGTTTCGTTGCTATGGGAAAGATAGACATGTCAGTTATACATTGGTATTTGCTCAACATAAAATTTCAGGAAAGTCCAGCAAGTAAGACAGGGAGGATATAACAGTAATATTAACTATGAAACAATGGTAAGTTGTCATGTTAGACATGAAAGAAGCAGAGTGTGGTGTCCACACATGTAGACCCCTTTTAAAAGTAGGCTGACTAGTAATCATGGGGAGTTCCAGCCAGCCTGTTATATTACATTGTATTTTATGCCATACTGAGAAAGGTAATTTTTCTAAATTAATTATTGTTCTGTTTAATAAAAAGCACTTTCTTGTCCACTTCTGGGGATCTAATTGGATAATGCTGATTAAGAGTAGTAACATGACTAATGAGATTTTATTTTCCTGAAATGTTATATTCTTACATGTAAGTGTCTAAGATTTCGAGGCATTAGATGAAATTACTTCACATGTCCTCACTTGCACATCATTGAAGACAGAAGTAATTACACACATGTAAAGTAAAGCAAAGCAAAGTGTAGCCCTGCTAAGTATACAAACTGACCTTTTATTAGTCAGATGGGGACCTGGAGTATAACATTTATTCACAGAGGAAATGGAAGATGGCAAACAGAAGACAAAACACCAGGTACACCAGGGAGAGACTCACCCTCAAGTCATCAAGGACTCTCACTTTTGTCCAATTGTACATCTGCCTCCCTTGGCGAATTCTAGGAAATTTCTGAACCAGGGCCTTCCTCTGCTGCTCCTTTTGCCTGAGGATGAAACAATGTTAAGTGGCTATGCCCTGATTATGCATGACATGGACAGTAATGTTTCTGGGTTCCATGCCATTGAGTGTTTCTTTTGACTGATGCAGGGCATCAGCAGGACCTGTACTGAGTCTGCTCCCTCCCTCATGGGACAGCCTCCCCATAATTTCTGACAGTTGTCTTATTTCTCAAGTTAAGTTTCAAGCAGATTCCACTCTTTTGTGTCATGTTCCTAGACCTCTGCCACTTACTGGTTCAATGTAGACTTATCTCTGTGGTACTGAAGGCCAGGCAGATCTGGTCTATTTGATTGAATAGTCTCTATTATCTAATTTGCCTGGG